TCCCTACAAGGCCTGCATTTTCCCAATAGATAGCATAGAAAAGGCTAAAAGCATTTTAGCATTTTAGTCCTTTCTGCATGACTTTTGCATGTCATTTATCTTACTTCACACAAACATTCCATCATCTGCTCCTGATCTGGCCCCCGTGTCAAATTTTAGAACCCACTGAGTCAAATAGTTTGCCCACGTCTGGATTAGGGTGACTGTTTACAATTCATTTAACATTGTGTGAGTATGAAATGTTGTATCTTGTCCTGTGATGGACTGGTGCAACATCTGGAGCAATGCAGGTTTTTATGACAAATTATTTAAAAAACATACTTCATAGCACTGGAGTTCAATATATGATTTGTTCCTAAAGTAAAAGTCATTATTTACAATTACTTATTTATTTTGTATTTTTTTTGTATTTTATTTTAGTCTCCCAGACACATGAAGGCTGTTTCTTCCTATTTCTTGCTGATTCTCTTCTTTTCTCTCACAGCGTACACAAAGGATATCGTTCTCGCACTACAGAAAAGCCAGATGTTGATTTGTCTGTTGTCAGCTCACTACTTCTGCAGCAGCAATGCTGTGTTCGTCCTGGAATCGGGAATCCAGGTAAGCTCCTCTTTTGGTCCAACAGTCCGTCCACATGCTCATCTACATTGGCCAGCGGTGTGGTTGAAAATGAAATTCCTTGTTTTAGGCCTTGCTAAAAAACTCTGGCCTCAAACTGCTGCTAATAAGAACCCGGAGAGATTCAGCCTCAATGTTCCAGGAGGCCCAGCTCCCTTCACTGGTCCAAAGGTCCTTGAAGGTGCTACCAAGTCTTATGTGGACAGGGGATCAACCTGACAGAGTGTCCTGCAACTTCTGGAGGTCTTTAAGAAAAAACATGCCTAAATACCAGGTCAAGATGAAATAATTGTTGTCATTTATTACCTAACAATACAAAACACTTTTACTAGTCTAAGGTTTTTAAGCCAACAAATCATCATTAAGCACTGATGATGAGTAAAACTTTGAATCAAAACCCATGACCTTTTTTGGATTTTTTAAGAGTTTATTTCACCATCGCCTCAAAGATTGGGGAAATTATTTTGAAGTTTCTGCACCATGAAGTGTTCAATTTACTTTTTGAGGTCAAAAAGATTTTCAAACACAGGAGAGGTGATACAACTGTAAAAAGAGACTTCAGTTAATATCAGAGGAGTCATTTTGACCATATGAATGAAAATCATTAAAAAAAAAAAATTTGGGGAAAACTGCAGAGACGAAGCTGTTGCAATGAGGTGACAGCAAAAAATTTTAATTAACATAGTTTCCAGAAGAAAACATTTCAATGAACTAAACAAAAGCTGTATGATTCTCAAAATCCCAACAACTCTATTTTAAAAAACAGAAAACATTACCACAATATGTACATTTTTTACACAAATACAAGGCATGTCAAATGTCAGAGACATGCTCAGAGTCAGAGTTACTGCCTGACACCTGAATCAAGCAGCAATGAAAGGAGATGACGGATGTAAAAAGCTGGATTTCATGTGAGCCACACGGAGCCAATGACGCATCAGAATTTGAACCGAGTTGGAGTGAACGCCTGCTCTGCTTCTCGTTCCTTCAGTTTTTTTTTAAAACGCACTCCAAGTAAATGACAGGCTAACTTAGGTAAACAAACAAACAGAAATCAGTGTTCTTTAAAAAAGCTACAGCTAACCACAACCATCGTTGCTTGTGGCTTAGCAACTGAAATATACTTGAGTGAGTAACTTTTACTAGAATAACATGCTAATGTTAGGTGTTTGAGGGTTAATCGTGGATTATGAGACATAAACATCTATGATAGAGAAACGAAGACGACCATTTTAAAAATGTGAAACTCTCTTTATACTTTGCCTTATTTCTACCGTATTCAAAGTGATGCAACTAATCTTAAACATCAGTTGAACTCCAGTGAGTATGAAGTTTAGTTTTGTGCACAATCTTAAACATCGGTTGAACTCCAGTGAGTATGAAGTTTAGCATCAAACAAAAGATGTTTTGTTGAGTTTCATGTCTTCTGCTGGCAATGTTAGCTTCTCTATCTAAGAACACAGACATTCTGTCTGATGTGCCGTTTGGGAGTAGAGGTTGTTGTCTATAATTGTATGTCATATATGTGCAAATATACATATATTTGGTGTATTTGTATTCTGCTGATAAATCTTTCAAACTGCTATACAGTGGATCTTAAAGTCATTCTTCAACTCATGTTGACATATGTAGGGAGGTTTCCAACACAGGGTTTACACTGACAAACACTTGAGCCGTCATGGCAGCGACTGACAAAAACTCTGACATTTTACGGATTTTCTCCTTCGGCCTTCAGCTTCCTCTCCCAGAGCTTCTGATTGTCAGAGAAACCTTGCTTGCCTTTGTTAAACGAATTCGGTCCTGCAGATGTTGGCGTCTCCCTGTACGATAAGATATTAAAAGCCGTGTTACAAGGAATTCTGATAACAAAAGCTGCACTGTGTGAAAGTATGTATTTACCTGCCAATGTTTTTCATTCGCATCTTTGCTTCGGGAGGCATCTCCTCAGGTTCGCTCTGCAGGGAAACACGTGATTAGTCATGTAATAAATATATAGAGAAATACAAAGACTGGGTGCACGTATATTTACATCATCATCTTCATTAAACACAGATGCCAGTCCTGGCTTTTTTGGAGGAACTGACGGTGCAGGTTCTTTGGGTTTCTGTAACAGGTTGGAGGACAAAAGGAATAAAAAAGGATTTGAGAACATTTACACCAATAACGGACATAAACAGCGAGAGTAACGTGCACTGTGTAACACTCACTGTTGCTCCTAGTTTGATGCTTATTGCATTCGACTTCTTCCCGATCTGATTGCTCATGCTAAAGCCTATCTTGGAGACTTTTCTGGGGGCCGGTGGATCTGCTGAGGTCCTTTCTTCGTCGTCATGTTGAAGTTGGTCTGATTTACGTTTAAGCGCAGTCCCCTCTACTTCCACAGTGCTACAAGAGACAGGCTTAGTTTTCACTCTGTCTCCCTCCTCCTGCGGCCCTGCTTGAAGCAAGACAACTCACCAAGGTGAACATAATGCTTTTGCGACCTAGGAGTAAGTATACATAAATGACCACCTTTACCTGTGTGGCTGTGTTTTAGCCACTATAATAAGTCCATATGAGGACGGTGTTTACGTTAAAGGGTTGAAGACGTGATGACTGACATCTATATATATTATAATTCAAAGATGCTATTAACTTAATAACGTGCTATTAACCTAGGATTATAATTTACTCGCTGGTTTCACCAGTTCTTTTTTATTGTGCATGCAAGTATCACTGTGTGCTAGCAGCGACTTTATTATGAGGTTAAAACGAGTAGTATTATTGAGACATGTCCAGCAAAATAAATATGCTCGTAAGTTGTCTGCAATAACATAAGCTAGTTAGCAATTGTAGATTAGTGACATTTTACATTATTGTAGATGTAAAATATAGCGTATTATAGGACAAGTAGGCAGAAAATCTTATTTAAAATGCGGATAGTTACGGTTTACATATTCAAGATGGTAAAATAGCTCAAATATCACCTCCGTCTTCGAAGAAGCCTTTCCTCTTAGGTCTGCTGTCCGCCATAACTGCTCCGTTCGGGCCTTTCTTCTTCTTCCTTTTTTAAAAGTTCTGGTTGTGGTTAACTCGTCGCGATGCTGCCCCCTATCGTTTGTCCAGTATTTTAACTTTAAGGCAAAATGTCTCAAGAATGCTAGTGCTAATGTTCTGAATGCTTTGTCTATAAGGCTAACAAAAAAGTATTTTAAATATATATATATTACTTTGTCAATAAGGCTAACAAAAAAAGTATTTTAAATATATATATATTTATATATGAAAATAACTGTGAAGCAGGGTTTATTTCACAGATATTTTAAATCAATGTACAGAATAAGATTTTCATAAAGACAACAATTAAAATCAATATTAAGCATGACAACCCTTCACAAAGACATACATATTTTAGAATAATAGGTATGACTAAACAATGACTTGGGCTAAAGAAATTATTAAAACATTTGATAATTAAAATAATGATTATCAGATAATACGTTTTTAAATCGTAATCTCGTATCGCAAAGGAGTACGGTTCTTCATATAGCTCAAATGTTGGAATCTCAGAGAAGTTTCTCCGAGAGACCTTCAAGAAGCATCAGCTGCTATATCTCGATTACAACGGCGGGTGTCGCTGGTCTTTGTGACACTTGATGCTCGGTGTGAAAAGGAAGAAGAAACATGGAGGAAATATAAATAGGGTAAACAGTGACCTGCTAGTGCTGTGGTCCTAATAGCATCAATTTGAAGTTCCGGTATGGCTTATCTAAGTTTGTTTTTTGTTTTAGAACATCCGGTTAAAATGACAATGGCTTAGATTTAACAGTGACAATAATTTGAACATTTTCCGACTTAAACCGACTGATATAAGCTAAGCTAACAGTGGGGAATATTTCGGCGGTGTTACTCTCACTTTAATTGGAATTTAACCCTTTTGCTTTTTCAGAAGCTCGTTGTTGAACAATGATCCAGACAAAATGGGTCAGGGTCTGTGTTTATGTTCCCGTGGCTCCATCATGATTGATAACAAGAAATATTACTTCATCCAGAATCTGGACGAGGGGTAAGATAGCATTTTTTTAAATTTGTGTTCTTTTAATCCTATCCTTTGATTTTTAATGTCTTAGCCTGAACGACACTCGAAATGTTACACAAAACGTTCTCTTTGAGCTTTTAGGGAGGAGTTAAAAAAAAGTTGAACCGTAAAAAAACAGCATTTGGTCACTTCATTTGTTAATTAGTTAATAGATGTAAACCCACCTTGTCTGTTATCTTCCAAAATACGTCCATTAACGGTGTTTTAATGTAACAGTACCTTGTATTTTTTGTAATTTTATTGACACTGATATGTGTGCAAACGTTAAAAAATATGATAAATGGTTTTTAGTAGTTTTTTTTTTTACTCTCAACTCGACGTTTGTTGGAGTTTGTTGCCAGTGTCCCATTTCATTCACTACTGTCCCATTCTGATTTGTTTGTTTGTGTCTTTTGTAGAGGCTTTAGTTTTGTGGATCTGGTAGAGGGGGCGAAGGATGGTTGTCCGTACGCCCTGAAGAGAATCCTATGTCATGACCGCGAAGGTCACCGTGAAGCGCAGACGGAGACTGAGATGCATCAGATGTTTAATCACCCCAACATCCTGACGTTGGTGGCTCACACCTTTGTTGATCGTGGTGGTAAAACGGAAGCCTGGCTGCTTCTACCGTACATGAGTGTTAGTATCAGTATCAGTCTTTCAGTATCATTCCGAAGTGTAGTGTCTGACAGATAATTTGTTGTGTTCCTGTCAACAGAAAGGCAGTCTATGGTCTGTTCTGGAGAAGCTGAGGGACAAGGGCAGCTCAATGCCTGAGAAACAGATTTTGCAGATTTTCCAGGGCATCTGTTTGGGACTAAAGGCCATTCATGACAAAGGCTATGCACACAGGTAACTCTCCCTCGCCCACAGTATGTATTGTATGTATTTGGCAAGCATTTACGTGCCGCAATCTGCACTGTGTAAAATGGTCAATGGTCAGATGATTTGGCTGATCCTCGTACACACTGACTTTGTCAGGTGTGAAAACTTTTAAGGTGAACAAAACGCCACAGAAAATTGTAATAAGTTGAAGCATTTTTTAAAATTTTTTCTTTAAAAAAAATTAAAGGTTTTCTTTTGCTCTCTGGATATCCAGAAAATTGGTTTTCTTTTGCTCTCTGGATATCCAGCCATTTCGATTGTTGTTTGATATATTAGTATTAGTAATGATGACATTACTTAACATCCTTAGTTATTTATTGTGGGTTGTTTTTCTAAACTGAGAGTAAAAGCCTGGAGAACTTTTTTCCAGATTCTCTCCGCTCAGTCTTACATTAACAAACTCAAGGCGAAGGAGGAGTGTGTGTTGAAGGTTTAACTTTGTTAGTTCGTGTGACAACAGCTGCAGGCAGAGTCTGCTAATATGAAAAACCAGTTCAGTTTTAATTTCTCCCTTTTCCATTTTGTGCACATCAACAACTTATTACGTATTACACAGACAGTGCAAAAAAAAAAAAAAGAAAAAGCTAACGTTTCACACGTCCTTTATGATTTGATAGAGACATAAAGCCCACAAATGTCCTTCTGAACGAGGACAACAGACCAGTACTGATGGACCTGGGCTCCATGAACCGCGCCAGGATTGAGGTGATGATGTGTATAACTGCCAAATGTTCTTCAGCTTAACCTTAACCTGTGTATTTTTGACCAAACATTCTGTACTGAATAGTTCAGGATGAATATACATACCGTTTTTGATGGATTTTTGTCTATTTTCTAAAAGCTTAATCTTCCAGGAACAAACATCAGATTGAAAAAAAAAACATTCTTTTTTTCGGCAAATCTAATGTAAAAACCTGAAAGTAAATAGTTGGAATAACATCAGATTGAGAAAAAAAAAAACATTCTTTTTTTTCGGCAAATCTAAAGTAAAAACCTGAAAGTAAATAGTTGGAACTCCATAGAAACTCCTTTGCTCTTTCCATCTGTCTTGGCCTGTCAGCAGTTTCTTCTGTGAACACTTCAGAATCCTTTAACTTCACCTTGCGATGATTTTAATCGACCTGACTCAATTCCAGGTTAAAGGAACAAGAGAAGCCATGACCATCCAAGACTGGGCCGCCCAGCGCTGTACCATTTCCTACAGGGCTCCTGAACTGTTTAACGTGGAGAGTCACTGCATCATAGATGAGCGCACTGACATCTGGGTAAGGACGTGCGTTTGTTTCCTTATTTAAATTCTTCCTCTAGATCAGGGGTGTCAAACTCACTCAGGTCCAGGGGCCACATACGGCCTTATTAAACGTGAAGTGGGCCGCACCGGTGCAATCACGACACAATTACCTATAACTAAGAAGTATATAAGAAAATATTCATATTTAATTCAATATAATTTGACAAAACTTGTTTTTTTTTTCATTTTCAAAATTCATCAAGTGGGCCGGATTGAACCACCTAGCGGGCCGGGTTTTGGTCCGCGGGCCGTATGTTTGACACCCCTGCGTTAAATGGTTTCTTTTTCTTTTTTTTCCCCCTCATCTGTTGCTGCCTCCTCCGCTCCAGTCCCTGGGTTGTGTGTTGTACTGTATGATGATGTTGGAGGGGCCGTACGATCTGGTGTTTCAGAAGGGGGACAGTGTCGCCCTGGCTGTCCAGAATCCAGTGACTATTCCAAAGCCTTGCAGGTGAGTCTTTGTCAGAGTAACCAGTCCAACCGACACAGGTCATGAATGGGCTTCTTTTTACATGCAAAGCTGCCTATTCAACCATTTGAGGTCAAGGGGTTAAACTTTCCGTGTTCTGCTCTGGGGTTCCTGTGTTCCTCAGTTACTCTGAGAGTCTACAAATGCTGCTCAGCTCCATAATGGTGTCAAACCCACAAGAGAGACCAAACATCAGCTGGGTCCTGGACCAGGTTCAGGACCTTTTGAGTCGAAGCCCCAACACCCAATCTAACATGGTCTGAAGCTGCACGGTTTGGATCTGTAAGGACCTTTGTTTGCATTATTGTTCGGTTAAATGTTCGGTTATGACATCATTGTATGAGTGACAACGTTTTCACAACATTTTTTTTAAGCCAAGTGTGTGTCATTTTACCTGTGGCAGATTCGTCAGACCGCCACCAGATGTCAGTGGTGTCGTGCCTTAGCAGCTGGTGTTATCACCACCGACATCTGGTGGCGGTTTGTCGAAACTGTTACAGGTAAAAAACTAAACACTTGTCTTAAAAAAAAAGAACAAAACTATTTAACACGTAGCCATAATTAACTTTTGCAATATTTCTTTAAAATATTAAGATTAAATTCTACTAATTATTGAATTCAGTAATGATTTTCTCACTTTGGTTTTCTCAGTTTGGGAAACTTTGATAAGTATAAACTGAGTGACATCCAGTCTGTTTATTCAAGTAGAATTATGTGTTCCTGAAAATATTAGAATAAACATCTAAAAGGCCTTTCATTTACTTTAAGTGTTAACATAGCAGTGCTGCTTTAAACGATAATGTGGCCTTAAGCCTTTGATGAAGGAATAGATTGACATTTTTTTAAAGAAAGTAAAGACAGAACGTCACTTCCTGTGACCAACTCCTGTCTATCCAAAGCGAAACTGGAGCAGGTTTACTAAAACCAGATGATGCTTCTGTGGGCTTAAATCTTTTGACTTCCTGTTTTTTCACATTCCCTCGCTTGTTGGCAGGCAGAATTAAAAAAAAAAAAGTATAAGGAAAACGTTGTGTGAAAGCTGGTATTTTTGCGAATGAAAATTAGACTGCGTCATTGCATTCCATTCCATTCCATTGTTCGTGCTCAGTTTTGTTTTTTGCTCTTGGAGGCAGTGCAACTGCAGTCCTGCTTTTGACCAGAGGGAGGTGCTACAATATCACTTATGCTTTTGAGTACGTTAAGGTATTGACAAATATTTAATGTAAGGGGGGGGGGGGGGCTATATGTTACTTCTTCACATTTTAACGCATACTTTTATTAAATATACTGTTTTTGAATTACTTGACTGTTTTTCCCATAATGCTTCTGCAGATTTAGCCATGTTTTATTTTTTTTAATTGTTTCAGTCTGTTAGTGTTTTGACTCTTTTGTCTCAGGGTTGACCTTCATCTTTAACAGTCTGATGGTTGTTCTTTTCACATCTCGATGGTACTTTTTAAATTATTCTGATACAATTTAATTTTATTTTTTTTTGCTTCCTGTGTCAGCCTGTTTCGCAACCACGAAGGACCGTACGCTTAACAGACCGATTGTTATCTTTTAAACACTACATATGATCGCGTTTCTTTAAGATAAGGATTAAACTGTGTATAACAGCTCTTCGCTAAAGGTGATCCCTACAGACTTAAGTAAAAAGGTTATTTCACTGTTGAATTTTTTTGTTGAAATTATTCGACATCTATTACTGCAACATCAAGGATTGATACATATTAGCTCTGTTACACACTGTTTACCATTCCAAATATAACATTGTACAAAACTATACATCTCATAATGTAATTAAAAAAAAAAAAAGTCAAGTTGAAATATTCAGCCTGGTTAATGAATCCGTGTTTACATTTTTTGCATGCTAATTAATACCAAACACTAAAATTTCATCAGACAAATTACAGGCCAATATTCTATATAAAATTGTGTTTTGTATAAAACTGGACCTACTGCCAAACATAAATACTTGTTGTAATAAATAGAAATTATACACAGGGTCGTGTATTAATATTTCAATTTGAAACATGCAGGCTACAAATGATAGGTTAGCAAAAAAAAAAAGGAACACAAAAAAACTAAAAAAAAAAATCATAAATAGCTGTAGTACATCATGATTATCATGATATTTTGCTTTCATTTATTTAAATCTTGATGTATAGTTAACATTATTGAGTCAGGTTATTGATGACGTACGTTCACTCGAAATGTTGATGTACAGTTGGGCGGTAACGCTAAGTCAATTTTATTTGTATAGCCCAGATTTAGAAATCGCATTTGTCTCATTGGACAATTTTAAATCAAGTTTGAAATTAAATCTTAAAAAAAAAGAAACTTTTAACAGTGGAGAAAAATACCGGAGTTTATATTGATTTGAAATAACAATGCAGAGTAAAGCGGGATAACGTTACAGTTACATACTGAGTGAGAATTTTAATAACAAATATCTCCATCAGATCCAGACTCTCTGTTGACAAAAAGAAAGGGAAAATTTACATCTTAGTAAAAAAAAGGTGTTTTTTTTGGGGGGGGGGGGGGGGTGGCCTTAAATAGTGAAATTAAATAGCAGTGTGTAGATCTGTTTAATCCACATTCCCCTTGATCAGCTGAGACTGTTTTTCTTTATGACACGAAACACCACAGTAGTAAAGCGATCAGACACACTGCATATGTAGGAGAAATCAGATTTTTAAATCTGTTTTTGTTGAACATAATATAGTTTTCCTAATCTCTGACACACAATAGTATTTTTTTGTTTCTCTAATTTTCTCCAATTTGCCGATTGGAAGCTCATCCAATCAGGATTAAAAACCACTGCTAGAAGATGTTGCATCACACGGAGTTGCCTGTAGTACTAGACATACAGTACCAGTACATTCTACTACTGGTGTTCGTGTCTGTGAATGTGGATAGAAATATCATTCAAATTATTATAAAATATGTTTTCTCTCTCTGTTAATTCTGAATTTGCATTAAATAAGAAATCATTTATTAGATGAGTTGGAAAAAAAAACCTGACTTTCCATTGATAGTGCTGAGGTTCAGTGGACATTTCCCTGCACCACCTTCTGTGTGTGCATGCATGTGCAGACATGTTTGAAAACAAATATCAAATTGCTGGTGTATCCTGATTTACAGCCTGTTCCTCCGCCCGGATCAGTGTAATATCACATTTCAGGGCCGCAGCAATTACTTCTGAAGGTAATTTCTACCTTACCGGGACATAAACGCACACACACCAACGACCAGACATAAAAGTGTGGCAAACGCTCTGCGTATTTACACTTGAGGTCCCCTTTAATACACAAACAGCCGGGGGATTCATCACACTTAAATTAATAAAAATCCATGCCCATCTCTTATGCGGACCCACCCACAAAGCCCAGACTCCCCTGGGAGTCGGACCAGAACGGACCCGGGTTTATGAGTCTAGTGTGTGCCGACATGCAGACCTCCTTTACACTTTTTTTTTTTTTTTTTTTTTTTTTTTTTCAGTATCATTTTCCTGCGAGGGTCTGGAATGATGTCATACCAAAGAAGCACAAGGTCAACTCTTTGTTTGCCTTTGTTTTAGCACCAATTTTCATGTATGTCATACAGTTAAGGTATGTGTGTGTGTGTGTTTGCGTCAAATACACGCTATAGCACTCACACAATAAACCACCTGGAGCCTTCATCGATTTGGCAATGAATCAATTAGTGAATTATTTAATTAGCAAAGCATTATGGGTCAGTGCTAAGCTACTCCCACCCTGTGGTGATGCCAGGTCCCTGTAAATCATCTCACATGTGTGTGTGTGTGTGTGTGTGTGTGTGTGGTCACCATGCAGCCTTGGACATGTGCACGGCCCTCTCTACAGGTTCCGCCGTGGTTCCCCAGGGGGCGACGCGGTGGCGGCCCAGTTGCTGGGTAAAAAAAAGTTTCCTGTGGAGGAACATGAAGTTTTATTGGCCGAAAGTTTCCCGTGGAGGAACATGAAGTTTTATTGGCCGACACAGAAGTCGTGCTGTCACTCAGGTCCAAATTAGCCTTGGCTGCGGTGAGACGGAGAAATATGGACGTTACATCCGCCGCGTTGAGTGAATGACTAACGGCTGCCGTTCGCGGTCGCAGCGTTCCTTCCTCCCGGGGATGCTTCTTCTTTTTTTTTTTTTTTTTTCCCCCTCTAATTCATGGGAGTGTTTGGGTTAAAATGCATAATGAGTTCATTAAGGGGCATTGGCGTAATCAGTAAAGGTATTGCCTTAATTACTGGCACCGGGCCAAGTCTCGGAGTTCTCTCCGAGCCGGGCCGTTCCACCCTGTCCGCGCGCTTCACTAATTTAATTAAGTGTACAAATGCCACACCTTAACGTCACCCTCGGGGGCAATTATGGCGCTGGAGATTGAAAGATCCCCGCAGGGATATTTTACTTACTGGCAGGAGATTGCCAGTGTCAGTTAGCTGATTGCATTGATTATATTGATTTGTAACAGCTTTTCTGGTAATTTCATCTCCAAAGGTGAGAGCAACACATCGGCCCAAAGACTTTTTATTTATCATTTCTTTATATAGACGCCGGACTCTTTTGCCAAGTGATTAGATGAAATGGAGTCTCACAATAAGTCTTTTGGAGTGGGACCTTAGGGGAGGAAGGGTGGGGAGTTTTTAGTTGCCATGGAAGGTCAGGACGGGTTTGGTGTTTAGGAATTTGTTAAGAAAAAAAAAAGTAGAACGACTTCAGTCAGGCGTTCTGACATAGTTTTACTGTGTACGTATGCAACACTGACTTCCAGGCTTTTCTCTGGAAGAGTTAGCATTCATCTTGTGGTGCAGTCTCCTGTTGTCTACCGATGTCCATTTCTCTGCTCTATTAGGGCTCGTTCTGACTAATGCTGACCTGAACAGTCATTCCTCCTTTAATTTTGCTTCTATTTTAGGATTTCTTTTACTATTTTTGTGTGTTATTGGACTGGTTACTTTTGTCTGATCGTTATTAACATATTTCATATTTATTTATCCACTTTAAGTGAAATAATGACAGTTAATAATTGGCACCGTTGACTGTAAATAATCAGTATCTAAAACAGGGGTGTCAAACTCATTTCCACCAGGGGGCCACATCAGCAGTACAGTTCCCCTTGAAGGGCCGGTTATTAATGAAAGACTGTATAGATCGGGGGTGCCCAACCCCTGGTCCGCGGACCATTACCAGTCCATAGGTCATTTGGTACCGGGCTGTCATATCCATTTACTTTCTTTATTTATAAGATAATCTTACAATATTTTGAAATAATAGGTCATTCAGACTGATACAAACAGAATAGAGTCTAAAAGATGTTTTATTTTGATATTTGAATAATCCTTCAATGCTCAGTACCTTGGTACCAGTCTGTAGTAACAGGTGGTACTGGCTGACCAGTCATTGGAACAAAAAAAGGTCAGGGACCGCTGGTATAGATGTAATTACTCCATAACACACTAATACATGTTTCTGCAATTGATTATTATTTATTCAAGCTGAGAGTTATCAGCTCAACTTTGTCAACTTTACCCTATTTCTTGAATAATTGTTCAGTCACACACTCTGTTTTCTCAAAACACTGTAAACATTAGTGAGTGAAAAAAGGACAAATCTATCGATGGACCTTTTACTCCCTTAAAATGTATGAAAAAAACCCTGGTGTTTATGTACGAATCTGTCCAACAGCAAAAGGGCTTAAACCAAATGACATCATAGATGTAATTGAAATCTGTTACACGGTGAATGGATGTGTTGCGATTGGGTGCGTTTGTCTGCCCCCTCATTTCCGTCTTGGGAATCGCAGGAAGTGTAGTTGGCCTCTGGTTTGGTTTACTTTATCAAGCGTGGCCTTTGAAAGCAGTCTGGAAATTAAACTGTAATAAATCAACACACGGGTCTGCCAGCATTTAAATGAAATAGCTGGAATAAATATACTAATTGAAGACATCACTTTCAAGAGCAAAGAAATTAAATGTGTTCGTCCTTCTTCATTACAAAGTGATGGTGAGTCACTTTCTGTGTAAAATATTCCACCAAAACACACAACAAACAGGCATTTTCGAACCATTCTCATTTTTGATTTTCGTCTCAGCCAAGTCTAAAGTGTTTTCTTCTTCTTGTTTAATTTTCATTGATGTGATGGCAGCAATTTTCTTCTTTACAAACGCTAGGTGTTGTTTGTTTCACCAGGTGTTATCTGTAATGATCAGGCATGGGCAAACTAAGGTCCGGGGGCCGGATGCGGCCCGCTCCGCTTTGTAATCCGACCCTCCAAACTTGTCTAAATTATATAATTGGTTTGTATTGTGATTATACCAATGCGTTTTCCCTGCAATGTCCACGTTTTCCCTATAGATGGCGTAGAGACGGCTAAAAGCATTTTAGCATATTAGCCTTTTCTCCGTTCAATTTTAGGACCAATTGTGGCTCGTGAGTCAAAAAGTTTGACCACGCCTGGTATAGACGCACAAAAACCTCCACTACTGATGGCGCTGTAATGGTCTGTCCGAAACGTTATTAGCCTCGCCATGCTAACAGCTTCATCAGGACTGACGTAGTTTAATCAGGTCTCTGTGATGACACGGAGGTCTCTTATGTCCCGTCTGCTGGTCCAAACAAGGTGGAGCAGACGTTGTTGTTGTCCTGCCGTTTCACCCGACTTTTTACAACTATTTTTTGCATCCTTTTTTATTTTTTTCAAATATTTCTAATTTT